TATCAGATGCCTCTATTGAAATTTGGTGAGCTCTCAGGGATACCATATTTGTTTAACAACTCTAATAGTAAAATTTTGTAGACTAAGAAATCGTTAAACAATTGATTAAAAAGTATCTTGATATCAACACACACAGATAGATAGATAGATATATATATATATAAATGATTGTACGCTAACAAGGTTTAAAAGTTGTAGGATAAAAAAAAGGTTTTTAATTACAGTAAGACCACATCTTAGAACAGTATTAAGTCCATATCAGTTTGCATTCATATCAAGATGCTTGTAAAGATAAATGAAAGCGAGGTACTTCTATATATGTTTTTCCAATATGGCTATATATATATATATATATATATACATATATATATATATATGTATAGCCATATATATAAATGATTGTACGCTAACAAGGTTTAAAAGTTGTAGCATAAACAAAAGGTTTTTAATTATAGTAAGACCACAGCTCATAACAGAATTAAGTCCATATCAGTTTGGATTCATATCAAGATACTTGTAAAGATAAATGAAAATGAGTTACTTCAACATATGCATTTCCAATATGGCATGGTTCTAATCTGTGAAACTTCTACTGAACTAAGTCAAAAGCTAAAAAAAATAGCGAAAAATTGATAAAGCTTAGAAGTAGGAGAATACTTGATAAATGGTATGCAATTGTAGTTGGTGTGATATTGATAATTATTGACCAATATAAATAGAAAATAAAGTGACACCTCGGTGTAAAATATTTAAGCATCTTAAAGCTATTATACAAAATGAATTGGACATTTTCAAAACAAAAAAAAGGGAATATATATGAGAATAAAACTCCTATAATCAAGGCTTAATCATTCAAATAGAGAAATGTCTCAATGGTATTATGCGATGACAACATATCATGAAACCTTCAAAATAAATTTCATAAAATAAAATAAGGTTAGCCATGTATAGAATGGGTAATTAAAAATTGCCCATTATTACGATGAGCATGATAAAACTAAAAAATAAAATAAAATGGAATGTGGCAAAACAAAAAAGAATGATTAATAAATAGCTGTAGTAACAGCTATTGGATAAATACGATTTTAGCAGTTTGGAACATGCAAAAAAATGATAGAAAATGACATTAGATAAGTGGATAAAATTAATGTCTAAAAATTAAAAAGAAGAAATAGGTTTATGATAACAACATGGATGTATAAGTTTTTCACAATAATTTATAAATAATAATTTTTACCACTTCGACAACACTTAGCATAACAAAATGGAAAATGAGCACTAATAAAGCTGACCCAAATAGTTGATCAAGCTAACATTGATGATTACTTAAAGGATATAGACTTTCTGTCTCTAACCTTGTTCTCACACAATACTACGATTTTCCCCTTATGATAACTTACACATTTCATGAAAATGAATAGGATCTTCTCACAAAAGAAGCTTTAGTAGACCTGATTTTGAGTTTGGGTAATAAGATATTGCATAGAATTTCTTTAATATAGAATACTAAGAGTTCCCCATTTAAGAATCCCAATCTCCTTCATGAAGTCTTCTTTTGAAAGGATAAGATTAATGGATTTTCTATAATGAATGGGATTGTTACACTGCAGAATTGTACATGATCCTTCCTCACCAAAATCCATTAAAACACATAAGAGATGCAGGATCATGTTTAGCAATTTCAGCCAATAGCAATTGACCATGACAAATAGTATACACAATCCCGTAGGAGTAACAATTTTTAAGTGTTTTTAGCAGATAATAATTGCTTTAGCATTCTATGATTTTGCACTCAGATGAATAAATAAAAAATTTAAATTGTAATAGCAAAAAAAATAAAAGCATCACTAAAATCTTTTTCCCTCTTCTTTAGACAAACACTAAATGCAAATTTAAAACACAAATTCAAAAGTCTGCACCTTATTGTTCATGCCACTCTTTTGCATAGAGAACTTCCCTTTCAAAGGGCTAATAAGGTCTATGAAAAATCATCAAACTAAAACAACAACAACAGCAAATTTTTATTCCACTAAGTCGGCTTGGCTACATGAATCCTTTTCTCCATTGTCTCCTATTGAGCGTCATATTTTCAATTGCTTCTAATAAATTAAGATCATTTTTATACGACATGACCAAGATTTGGTCTATCTCTACCTTTCTTAACAAAATTCAAATCTAAAACAACTACTCTCGATATTTAATATGACCAAACCATCCAAAACGACTCTCTGTAATCCTGTCTGCCACTAGAGCGACACCAGACCCTTTCACCAATATATTCGTTTTGCATTTTTTTTGCATTTTGACTCAAAGTATAAGTCACTCATCCATCTAAGCATTCTCATCTCAGCAAAACTTAAAAACTTAGTTTTATGCTTCTTTATAGGCCAACTGACGCGGGGCTTATTGCCTGAACCGGGTGGTTCAACAGTGGGGAGCTGGTCTAAGCAAGGAGGGCGGCAGCTATTGGGTTGGATATATCACGCCTTTCCCCACCTTTCCCTCATATTTTCCCTCATATTCACCTATTATAAATATGTTGTTTTCTGAGTTAGCGTTTACTTTTTCAATTTTTTGATTTATGAGGGCTGCCTCCAGGTGTTTTCCCTTGCTAGAGTTGTATCCGAGGAAAGGTGGTATGTCGTCGGTATTCTGCTTTGAGGTGGGGATTATCTCCTCGATTCCATGTTGTATTAACCCTCCGCAGGCACCCCTCCTGACACCTTCCAACTGTGAAATCCCAAGCCCCTCATCTCCTACCACCGCAAACTCTACTGCGGCCCCACCTAATGCCTAACAACCATCTTCCCCGCACCCCAGCCAACTGCCTATCTCCCTCCTCTTGCTATCTGCAGGACCGCTCACCCCTAATCCATCTCCTCTCTCTACTGCCATCCTCTACTCGTTCTAGCCACCACCGCAATTCCCACCTTCTCACTCATCCCCAGCCACTTTCACCGATCCCCACGCGCAATCACTGTTGTCACGGATTGTTTCATGCTGCCCTAGTTAAGTATTAGTGTTTTGTTGTTTTGTTATTGTTGTTGTAATCCATTGTTGTCGAGTAATAAAATTATGTTTTCCTATCGGAACTTGCCTATGTTTGATATCACCAACATTCTTCGCCATAAAGTATTGCAGATCTCACCACCACCTTATAAAATTTTCCTTTAAGTCTAAGCGGCACTTTCTATCACACAATAGGCCAGAAGCATTCCTCCAATTCAACCATCCAACTGAAATTCTATTAATAACATCCCCGTCTATATCACCATCACTTTGAACAATAGACCTGAGATATCTAAATGTTCGCTGCTTTTAATGATTTAATCACCCATTCTTCAACTCCGCCATTAAATCTACTACTATTAAAATTACATTCCATGTATTCTGTTTTAGATTTAATCAAACGAAGACCTTTAGATTCTAAAGTAGATCTCCAAAATTCAAGTTTTTTCTTGAACTTTTTCTCTAGTCTTATCCACAAGAAGGATATCATTAGCGAAAAGCATATAACAAGGTACATCAACCTATAAATGTTCAATAAGAGCATTCATAACTAAAGTAAAAAAAATAAATGGGCTTAAAGCCAATCCCTAATATAATCCAACTGAAACAAAAAAACACTTGGTCGGCCCTCTTCTTCAAACACAAGTAATGCATATCTTTAGTGAATTGAGTATAAGTCATATCAACATCTTTCTTTTCTAGAACTCTCCAAAAAAGTTATCTTGGAATCTTATCATAAGCTTTTTCAAAATCAACAAAAATCATAAGTAGATCCTCTTTACTCTCTTTGCGCTTTTCTATCAAATCTCTCAATAAATGTATAGCTTCCATATGAAAAGTCATCGAACTGATTTCCTAAAATTTGGAGGTGAAAGAAAAGGGGAAATGAAGTGGGTGAAAAAAAAAACACCACTTTATTATGTATAGTTTTTACCACAACTTCAATGCGGTGATCAATATAAGGTCCTTTACATGGATGTGCTTGTTAGGTCAGCCATAAACATCAAACATTCAGCCAAAACTAATATCAAGTGATAAGACCTTATTTTTAACATTATAATTGGCTTCATCAACGTATTTAATAATTAAACTGCATGTTCATACTTGTAAACATGATGATTTGGCAAAGAGATTAAAATGGTCCTATGCCAATTTCTTAAAGTAGAATCTTAAGGATTGTGAATATAAAATGCACTGGGAGCAGGCATCCAAGCATTCAAATGATGAATAATGGCCCGAAAAGCAGTGCCACAGTGTTTAACTTTCTTCTCAAGCTTAATTGTCGCTGGCTACAAGTAAGCTAAAGATCAAAATGATGAGGATGATGCTCTTGACTGATCTTAGTTAGATATCCATGATAAACATTGTCTACTGTCTGAAATATGAAACATTAATGCTTATGAATATATTTCTTTTACTGAAATGTTTTTATTTGCTAGTTTTCTAAAGTGCTTATTAAAGAAGATCACAGCAATTTCAAAAGCTATACAATTGCTCTACCATTTGAAACAATCTCAAAGGATCACATGTATGGAGATTCCTATTTTGTATAAGAGAAGCAGAAAGTTAAGGCTTCTTTCATTATCTACAAAACAAAGAGTATGAAGCATTTAGCCAATTAATAGGAGGTAAAAAAGGGTATGTCTAGCATAATTCCATAATTACCCAACAAAGCCAGAGAAGAATTAAGCAAATGAATTGTAATTTAATAAGCACCAAAGACCTCACCTCTCTACCATATATCCCTCAGAAATTTTCTAGTAACCTTAAATCAATCCTAAAATTTCAATATCATATTTCCATAGGTATGATACATGTGTCCCCACCTAATCAGCTTTATCAGCAATATGCACATATAAGCTAGAAAACATATTGACAAATATGAAATGCAATGACATCGTAAAGAATTTTCCAAATAAGTATAAGTATAAAAACCATGCCAAAGATATTTCCATCTCAGGAGTGTATGACTTTAAAAAGCAATATCTCACCGCATATTGTGGACCCATCAATTCCCAGTTCATTGATTGTCCTGAAAATAAAAGCAAACCAAAACCTGAAAATCATGAACAGCAACAACAAAAACAACCACAACAGCAATTATTCAATGAGAAAGTCAGCATACTTAAGATGCAGCTGCTTTACAAACTTCAACTCAGTAATGTCTGATGCATTAGAAACACCACAAGTGACAGCCTTTTCCCCAGCCTAAATCACAAAGTGCTGGAGTGAAAAATGCTTATTACAAAAAATTGGACCAAGAAACGAAAAACAGTGGAAGCCACATATCAGAACTACTAAGAATTTACCAGCAGAAGCTTGTTTGTTGTCTTTCCCATGGCTGAAAGGACAATCACTGGGCGTTCCTCAGGAAAACTTAGAATAAGCTCAGCAGCCTCCCTCATCCTATCAGCAGTGGCAACAGACGACCCACCAAACTTCATCACTATACTGAGCTCGGAAGCAATGCCATCTGCATGTTGCCTCAACATCTCATCCTTCTCCACAATGCCAGAGACTGCTTTGGAACAGCTTATCCGTAACGTTCTCCTTCTCAAATATGCACTTCCGACTTGCCGAAACAGAAACCTCAAAGCCGTCTTCGATCCTGACTGAGATCGTGGTGCCAACGAAAAAACAGGAGTACTCATCGAATCCCTAGAGAGACCTGCGCCATGAACTTGGATGCCAAAATGAATCATGGACGCCATTTCCTTGAACCAAAATCTGGCTCTTTCGGACTAAATAGCAGTAGATCAAAGTCGACAAATTAAGCGATGGTGAAAAGTTGCCCACTTGCTTTCATTCAAATGCCTCCCACCGCAACCAGAAATCAAAATACCCTTACAAATACCGATTTCAGACAAAATCGCCAGCTGATCCACCAAAATGAGTGCCAATTCAGCGGCAAAAATCACATCAACGTCAAGAATGCATGAAAAAAGGGGAAAAAAAAAATATACGTAATAAAATATGAAAATATGGGTGAGATGATGGAAATTGACTATACGTAATAAAATATGAAAATATGAAAATATGGGTGAGATGATGGAAATTGAAGCATTAAACGAGCGCGTAACACGATTCTTACCGACAATCTCCGAGGAGAAGTTCAATTAATAAACGGAACTTGTATTCTCCCGCTTCTTCCTTTCTTTTATATCCTCCGGGTCAGAGATTTCTGGCGGCGAAGGAGAGAGCGACTGCTCCGGCCACGGCTACGTTTTTCACTGGCGGGCAGTTTGATTGAGGAGAAAACGCGGCGGCTATGGTTTCTCCTTGTCCTGCTTCTGTGCGGCCGGCCTTGCGGAGAGGTCTTCAAGAGCTTCCCCAATGAATAGACTGCAAGAAATAGACTGCCTCCCATTCGAAGTATTTGCACGTGCCTGTAGATCCGCCGAAATTTCTTTGCTTGGCGATTTAATATGATTAATCATCCTTTGATTTCTTTTTTGGAAGGGATCCATGGAATATCTCGATTTTTGGCAATTCTACGAAGCTACCGTGCGATCCTGTAAGGTGGGCCCAAGTTAGTATAAAATTATAAATATATATATATATATATTAAAAAGAAATGATCGAAGATTATTATAGGAGCCCAGTTATCCCTCATGCGACTAATAATTTGAGTACCACTCAGGAGAATCAAACCCCAGACCGAAGGAGACTTATAACTGACAAGCAGATATCCGACCAACTGATTTGAGTACGCAGCGCATATATATACCATCGAAAATTATTATAGGAGCCCCAATTATCCCTCATGTGACTAATAATTTGAGTACCACTCGGGGAATCAAACCCCAGACCGAATGAGACTTATAACTGACAAGCAGATATTTGACCAACTGATTTGAGTACGCAGCGCATATATATACCACAACCTACACTCGGGGGAATCGAACCCCAGACCGAAGGAGACTTATAACTAACAGCAGATGGAGACTTATAACTGACAAGCAGATGCCCGACCAACAAATTTGAGCACGCATCGCATATATATACCACACCCTACACTTGTGGGAATTGAACCTCAGAACGAAGGAGACATATGGAAAAGAATTTTTCAAACAATTGGTGGGGAATCATTTCATGACTAAATAACTCTATTTCAACATAAACTCTTTAACAACTTTATAATTTATTTGGATACTAAAAATATATTATTAGCTTAAAATTATCTAAAAAAATAAATCATATACATCATTCTATTTATATATCTTATGCTTTTAATTATTACAATCTTTTGATTAATTAATATAAAAAATTAATTACAAAAGTTTTTTTTGTAATTAATAAAATATTTATATAGATTCTCATCTATATATTTAATACATCTCAAAACATCAAATATTTGAGACAAATTTTAAAAGTTTATTTTGAGATCATCTGAACTTCATTTTCACTAAGTTTTTATGTGATTTAATGAGATGAGCTCAAAAATATAAATAAAGTCTTGTTTCAAGTAAAAAAACGATCAAAATGTAGCATGTGATTGGAATATATTTAAGATTTTTGGAGGGAAAAATGTTCTACAAATTTTAAATGCTTATAGTTGACTTATTCATTTTGACGTGATAATTCTGATGAGTTTAAAATCTTTTAATTTTAAGCTCATTAAAATATTGTGATGCTCAAAAAATATATAACAAATATGGGCAAAAATATATAACAAATATCAGCAAAGTGTTTGGAATTTTACAGAATTATCAAAACATATACTAAGAAACTCTATAAATAGATCATATTTCTATACTAAAAAAAAAGTATTTGGAGGAAAAAATTCTCAGGCTTAAATAGTGTTGGAGCTATGTTCATTGTTGCCTAATGATCAATAATGATGATCGCCAAAGCATCATAAGATGTATTGCATGCTGGAAAATTCATGGTGATAGAGATTTTTTACTTCGTATCATTGTACGAAATTTGACACACACAAGCGCACACACACACACATAAATAAAGAGCTGACAGATGAGGCAACATGGATTTTTACATGAAAATACCGAAAGAAAAAAACATTGGGGCTAACTCAGTTGAAATGGTTCCACTGCTCAAAAATATGTTATAAGATTTTTTTTTTTTTTGAATAGCTAGAAAAGATATTGCATGAGTGGAATTTTTGGCATAAATTTCATCAAAAAAGTGACAAAAAGTTGCGGAAGTGGCAACGACCTGGATGCAATGATGGAAAATCGATAACATAGGTGGTGTCATGGAAATCTGAATTCATCATTATTAATGCTAGTGGTGACTAGCCAACAATGGTATGACAGGAATAGTAGTGATGCCCAGACAACGGTGACACAATAATGATAATTAAATTTTGAAGGCATGACGTCGATAATGGCAACAACTAGGGGATGGTGGTCTGATGGAAGTCACGGTAACAGCTAAGCAACGATGGTTGTTGTTGTGATGTCGGTCATGTGATTATGGGTTGGGATCGAATAAGTAACAGTATTTTGACCCAAGTATTTTATAAGATACTAAAGTCAGAAGAGTCAGAAGAATTTTTTAAAAAACTAATTTGAATTCTACTGAGAATTGAGACTCATTTTTTGTACATGATTAATGTCAAGAGAATTTTTAGGTTGTATAACAGAGAATTAGAATTTTTAGTAAAGGTAAGCCTTGATGTCTTTGACTTCCATAATTTCTATTTTCAGTTAAATCAAAAAGATGATTAGATGGAGGAGTAATTTCGAATCCACTAATTTCTTCAGGTTGAATTGTGTGACCAATATGAGAGAAGAAAGGATTTAAATGAATTGAATTTGTATGTGGTTTAAATGTTATTGTATTATGTTGATTATTATATGCATAAGCATTTTGATAAGTAATGTTATATATATTACACATTCTTCTTGTAATTTTACTCTGTCTAGTTTATGTCGTATTGTAAGATATCGATCTAAGTGTTGATCATTAATATTTACAACATTGTTTGGGTGTAACTTAAACATTAAAGTTTGATAACATAGATTTTCCTTGTATAACACCTAATAAGGCATCTTTTTTAGAATGTATAATTCTATCATCATAAACTCAGATAGTTATAGGGCTATCAATACCTTTGGGAATGTATGCCTTAATTAAAATCTGTATTCCTCCAAAAAATATATGTTTATATTTTTTAGGGTTCTTAATCCTTTCCAAATCCTGTCGCTTTATTTGTTGATTATACAGAGGTATTCGTGTACTTCCTTCTGCATTTAGTATATCAATGAATGTTCTCCCTGACGAATATTGTAATGTATAATTCTTTTCCAAAGGAAAATAGGCATATCAAAGTAGTCTTTAGTTTCTAACGATAATTTTTTTTATGTTATTGTAAGCTTCTTCAGATAATGTAATGTGTGTTTCAAATTCAATAAAGTTGTCATTAATTATATCTGATTCAAAATTTTCCTCCAATAATCAGAATATAAATATTCATTTATTTCATTATCGGAATAGCTTATATTTTTTAAGTTTTGTTCAGTATCTGATAGTTCATAAAGATCTTCTTCACTATTTATGTCAAAAAAATTAAAAATTGGTTCTAACTCATTTTCATTTTTTATTGCTACATATTTTACATGACTTATTGTAGTCTTCTGAGGACATGTGTTTGTATAATGTCCTTGTTTACAAATCTAGAATTTACTAATTCTGTATTTTTTAGTATTTGTATTATTATTGGTCTTTTTATCCTTTTTTCTAGAAATTTTTTTTATGAGGACTAAAATATCTTTTATGTACTTTCTCCAATTTGGGTCCAAAACCAAAACCCATCAAAACCCATTCAAATTTCTAGAAATTTTTTTTATGAGGACTAAAATATCTTTTATGTACTTTCTTGAAGAATTTTTTTCTTTTTTTTTTTTTGCAGGCAATTGCAATTATTATGGGAAGATGAACATCCCCATTGCTGAGCAAACAAATCTGATTTTTCATAATATAAAGATTATTTATATTGTTTATTTTGTTTATGTAAGTCAAGATGCTGACAGGCTTCAGCTAATGTTTCAAGAGTCTATTGTATCCTACCTACAATAATGTCATTTAGATGTAATTTTGTAAATTCTTGTCTTCATAGAATATTATATGGTTCCGATTGTTTGTAAAAATACATATCTAAATATAACAATAGACCATCGGCTAGGATATCATAGAAATTTTTTTTATAATCGCAAATATATTCATTTAAGTAAAATATATTACAAATACTTAAAGGATGTTATCTTTTGTTTAACAATATCTAATATTTCTATTTTTTGCTTCGACAATATATTTAATTTTATACCTTAAGAATTCATTTTTTTATAAAATCACCATAAATACTTAGTCATTTACCAGGTGTATCTTTCTCCTAAACAAGTATCACTGATAATTTGTTTTTTATTATCTTTTAATCCAAGAAACCATTTTTTTGCAATTCCAATAAGTGTATTTTCTAAAAATCTATAGCCATCTTCACTTTTAAATTTTAATTATATATAGCTAAACTAATTTATATTACCTATTTATCCATTATTTCTTTAATATTTTTTAAACAATCAATATTTAAATAAATATTGTGTCCATCAATGGGTTCAGGTATGTGATTTTGGATCTTTGATCCTGATTGATTTGATCTTGGAGTGGGAATACGTTTAATAGTTGGTGGTAGGTAATGTGCTTAAGAATTAATATTTTTACTTGTACTAGCATCATTAGAAATAGAGTGAATAAGCATTTCTATAGATTGATTGTTGGAAGGAGTAGGAGTATCGACAAAAGGATAATTAATAAGAGTATTCATGAATTGGTGTTCTATTAGAACATTAATTAAATCTTTTGTTTCATTTTCAGTTTGAGAAGGTTCTTATACTTAAATGATTTCATTAATATGAATAGTTCCTTGTATATTTTTTTAAGAACTATGCTTAGTTTGATTCATCCAGCCAAGAATATATTGATGAGAGGAAATTCTTTCTACATTGTAGAATTCAACAAGAATAGCTGCGATTGTTATATTATTATTTAGAATTTGTTGGTTGAATTATTCATAAACCTAATTCATGTATATTAGAAGTGCTTTCTAGAGAAAATAGAAACTCGACAAATAATCATTCTTCGATCATCAACAGATCACAACCCTATTGTCGGCCGCTAAAATGTTTCATGGGTGCGTGGAAGGTCATTTTGATTTAATATACATATATATTTTATTTTTAGAAAAAAAATAGTATTTTTAATTTTGAAAAATAATGTTTTAATTTTGGAAAGTAGTATGAGACCGAACTTTTCTCATATAAACAATAGTTTAAATAAGCAAGCACAACATTATAAATGACATATCTATCCCGATAAATAGACATATCACTTATCTATGAAGCTCGATTAAATAAAATATAGAATTTATGACATCTGT